ATGGTATTTGTATGCTTAGTTCCCTCTCTTGGCTGTAGGCTTAGTGGGAGCTCTGAGCAGGGGAGAGATGCATGACAGCAGCGCAAAGCACAGTGCTGTGATTTCAGCATCCCAGAGTATTTCTACATGTGAGCAGAAGGAGGCTCTGCTCAGTGGGAACAGCTATGGTCTCAGCCTTTGGCCTGGTGCCTGCTGGTTGGATTTTGTAGCCGTAACTTCAGAGAGCAAAACAGAGGCAGTTGAATAGAAATATCTGAGGTATGTTTTTGGTAATGTTAGGTTCGTGGGCAACCACATAAGCATTTCTTTCCCTCTGTGTTACTACCTTTTTTCAGACCAGGTGCTTCCAGATGAGCCTGCATGTGTAGGATGAGCCAATCACTGCCTCCTCCAGCCTGTAGCTTTTGAGTGAAGGTATTTGTACATGAGTGACTCAAAATAGGCAGGCAGGGTAAGTGGGAGGGTAGAAACAGACATGTGGTTCTTCATCCTGTAAAGGTCATTATTGATTTTAGGAAATTGGTGCTAAACTACAGAAGGCATCTATCTAGAGAAGGGTGGGAGAGGAATGGGAGCAACTGCTGTGGTTTGCAGCCTGGGGGTGGTGTGAAGAGCACTAAATGGCAGCGAGCACTAAGAACGCTGTGCCCGCTTCTGGTTTTAAAAAGCAGCAGTGCAGGGTATGGCAGCTGCAGTAGGAAGGGCTTAAAATTCCTCCTGAATCTGCCCACCTCTCTTGTCTGCTCCTGCTATGCCAGCTCTCAAAGCACACAGTGAGCTCTGCCTAATGCCAAAGCATGATTGTGAGTCTGGATCCATGGCACACACACAGTGAGAACACCTCACGCTTTGTCACAGCATGTGGCTTCTGAACCTACCTGTGGCAGTTAAGAGCATTCACACAGAGTTGTGAACAAAGCTGCGTGTGTCTATAACCAATGTCAATATCTTCATTTCACAGATGTCTTTCTTGGGGAAGTGAGATCATTTGTACAACAGTTTGGACACAGGTGGTGCTGTTGTGGAGTCAGGAGTTGGACCTGATGATCCTTATAGGTCCCTTCCAACTCAGGATAAGTTACGATTCTGTGATACAAGCTGACAGCATGAAAAAAGGGTCAGTACTTACACTAGCTGTTTTCTTCCCATATTTTTTTCCTCCGCTTGATCAAAGGAATTAACTTGGCTGGTTCTGTTGTATTTCAAGCCATCCTTGCTTTTCTTTCTGCTTATTAGTCTTCCTCAGTATGGCCTTCAAATTCAGGGCTGGGAAAGCTGCAGGGGAATTCTGAGTGTCAGTTTGGTTTTCATTTAATATCTCTGTTGCAATGGTATCCGTATGCTTTGCTAAATGAATTTTTGCTTGGTTTTGCTTTTAACCTGACTCCTGTAACACTACTTCAGAGCAACCATGCCTGTCTCTCACGGGGAAGGAAAAAATGGTTGAAAAGAGTGCCTGTTGTGGAAAGGTGAGGGTGTAGAGTTCTGGTGGGTATTTAGAAGCTCTATTTACATCAGAAAGAGAGGGGAGGGAAAGCAAAGCCGAGAAGTGGAACTCTGCCTCTCTAACCAAAGAGGCTCCCCAGGAAATGGTGGCCTCCTGGGGGCCCCTTTCTGAGGCCTTGGAAGCACAACGCACAAGGCCAGGAGCCATTTTAGGCCTCGGTCTATAGCCCAGGGGCTTCAGGCTGAGAGCAGGGCATAGGATTGTTGTGTGCCCAGCAGTGCAGCACCTTCAGCGCTGCTCTTCAGGTGCTGGCTGCCATCCTGCCTCACTGGCTGGGCTATGGGCCCGGTGCTGCAGGGTAGCATGCTTCACGGCACCCACAGGGACAGCCCTGCGTTGGCACTGGGCTGGTTGCCTGCCCAACTCGCATCTGAGTTCCTCAACCCCTTTGGATTCTCTGTGACTCAAATCCTGCTCTGGAAATATGAGCAAATACAGGCACTATTATGCTTTACCGCTTATTCTTGTAGTGGACCAGCAGCATCTTTAAAGGCCTGTTCTTTGAGGAGGAAGAAGGTCCTGCCCCATAATTCAGCCACCCGTACATCTACGTTAGAAGATTAATAGCTTGACTGTTCTGTATCTTGCCTCCCCTCCCTCCTCCCCCCACCAAGCCTTTTCCCCCTCTCTGATCACAGTGCATAACGTTTCTGACTTCCACACTGCAGCTCCCTGTGGGGCTTTGCCTGAATGCACAAACCAAAGCTGTGCTGAAGCAGCACGCAGGGAGTCCCTGGCATGGGGAGCCCTGGGGCTGAGCCCCACACGGTCAGAAGTGGCAAAAGGAAACCATCCAGAACTGTCAATCCTTCAGCTGCAGAATATTGGTTTCCATGGCTATTGAAGTTAAAACCTTGCACCAGTGTGGGTATTGCTGGTGCTCAGTGCACCTTGTCCGCCACAGCATGTGTGAGGGAACAGCCACACTGCCTTGCAGCCTCAGGCACCTCCTCGTGAGGCACAGATGCTCCAGTTCCAGCTGTGTTTGTGCTGGATGAGTTTAATTGCATGTGCTGAATTGAGCAGACCAGTAAAAGCTCAGCTCAAACTGGTTTGAGAGCACTTATGCTAGGAAGCTGGAAATAAATCAATTTTGTTATATGCTAAGGAAACTTGTTTCCAAGTGGGAAAGGCTTCATAGCAATGCCATTACTGGGAACATCAGCTTTTAGTTTTTACAGAGGAACAGGATTCAGTCACTCCATCTTACCTAGAATAACAATGTTTAGCATGTAAGTAGCATTTTACAATTTCAAAGCAATAAACACCAAGATACCATGGTAATGAGAGCTGACAAGGCACTAGCATTAACTAATTAAGCCTCACAACTTCCCTGGGGTATCTAAATACAACAACTCTCATTTTATAGATGGGGAAAATCTATCTGAATTGATTTACTCCAAGGCACAGAGCAATTCATTGAAAGAGCCAGAACCACAGCTTGGCACTACCAATCCTTGGATGGCAGCTCTGTCTTCCATGAGGCTCTGTCTTATTTCTAGATGATGTCTTGTCCTGTTCTTGGTCTTGGTATTGGAGAATGCTTCAACCAGCTCAGGCGGTGTATTTCCAGCACCCAACAGCAGTTGCTTTGTGCTGCTCTTTGGGGAAGGTTCATCAGGATCTGTGATTGTGAGATTTGAATCCACTGCCACAGATGAGGTTGCTCTCTGGGGGACAAACCAACTTACAACCTGTGGTTTTCAGCTCTCATAGATTAAGAGCAGAAAATCTGTTGAGACCTAAGGCTCAGATCTTTGGGTTTGATATGCAGTTTGCAAAGCACGCAGGAGAGAAGCCTACGAAGAGGATGGTTTGCCATGTCAGGACTGGCTAAATTCCCAGCAGGCAGATGCTTTTCAACCACCTAAGAGACGATGTAAGCTGAAAGTGGCAGGATGCTGCTAATTTTCTGCCTAAGTCTACAGTGATGTGTGTGACAGCTGCAGTGTTCCGTGCACTATCCTCATGCAGCTGCCTCATGCCACTTCCCCACTGCTTCCTAGGGAACCTCATGCCCTTGTTTTTGCAGTATGTAGCCTTGTGGGGAAACGCTGTGGGTCTTCCTGTGCCCAGGCTACAGGCAGTCAGTCAGGGAGCTTCAGCTGAAGGCCATGATAGGGGAATGCCAGGAATCTGCATTTTTACAAGAGATCCTTCTTGATGCTACCACTGTATCAACTGGAACCAGCCCCTGCTTTCTCGGTTCTGGCACTTTGCATTTGGTATTTTTGGCAGTGTGCTCCCAGGTCTTTGCGTTCTGTTGAAGGTGGGTTGAGTAGTTGTGGGCCCACAGGATGTGTGCTGGAAGCAAGGCTGGAATTGTAGCAGTGCACCTTTGAAGCCATCTTTGGGGATCTGAGGTAGCATCCCTGCAGGGAAATAATGTTATCAGGGAGAACACAGCCTAACGGCAATGGTAGGGACGATAGAGGGAGCCAAATTAATTCATAAAAAAAATGCAGGGGAAACGAGGGCTGTAGAGCTTTGGACCAAACGAGCAGCGAGGAAACTTCAGTGAGGTTGGGGACATCTTTAATGGGACGGAGTGGGATTACTGTAAGACTGCTGTACCCACGGGCAGCAGAGACGCACCACTCAGACAAGAACGGCTGGGCGCTGCGGGAACTGTGGGCAGGAACGTCGGGGAGAGAGAAAGATTGCAGCACGAGCACCCCGCACGTAGAAGTGGGGCAGAACGCCGCGCTCTCTGGCAGGGAAGCGGGCACTCGCCGACCCATCGCTTCCACGCTGCCCGAAGGGCGCTGCGCCCCATCCCGCGGCTCTCTTCCTGCGACTGAGCCGCTCCGCTCCGCCCAGCGGCACCCGGCCCCGCCCGACTCCGCCCCGGGAGGCGTGGCCCGGCGGGCGTGGGGGCCCTGTTGTTGTGATGAGGAGCGGCTCCACCCCCTCCTCGTGCGCGGCCCCCCCGCCCCGTCGGCGGGAAGCCCCGCCCCCCCCGCCCTCTCGCCTTTTGTCCACTCCCCGCGCCCCGCCCCTCCGGGCACGTCGCGCCACGCCCCCCTCCCGCTCCGCCCTTCCCATTGGCTCTACCTCCACTCGCCCCGCCCCTCCCCGCGCCGGGCCCCGCCCCTCCCTCGCGGCCCCCCCCGGGCCCATCTGTTCCCGGCGGCGCGGCTGTTGCCCTGCAGGGCGCGGGCCGCGGCGCGGGGAGGCGGAGGAGGATGGGCCCGCGCAGCGGCGGCCGCCCGCGGCAGGGGCAGCAGCAGCGCCCCCGCCGGCCCTAGCGCCCCGCCGCTCCGAGCCGCCCCGCGCGCGGGCGGCAGCGAGGGGGCAGCGCGGGGCCGCCGGGGGGCGGCCGGGGGGCGGCGTGGCGCCGGGGGGCGGGCGGAGCGCGGCGCAGCGCCGAGCGGCGGCGGCACGCAGCCGCCCGCGGGGTGAGGCAGCGCTGAGCGGGCGGGCGGGCAGCCGGCGGCCGCGGGAGATGTGCCCGGAGGAGGACGGCGGCTGCGGCGGCGGCGGCGGCGCGGCCGGTACCGGCGGCACGGACGCGGCGGCGGCGGCGGCGCTGGACGAGCTTCGCTCCTGGTGGGAAGTCCCGGCCATCGCGCACTTCTGCTCGCTCTTCCGCACCGCCTTCCGCCTGCCCGACTTCGAGATCGAGGTGAGACCCCGCGGCCCCGGCGGCGGCGGCGCCGGGCGGAGCGCTCCTAACTCGCCCCGCAAACTTTCGTCCGCCCCGCTCCCCCCGACGGTGCCGCATTGTTCGGGGTCCGCCGCGGCACACAAAGGTGGTGGCGGCGGCGGCGCGGGGCCGCCGTGGGGTCCCCGTGACCAAAATGGAGGCGGCGAGGGGCGGGCCTCGACCCCCGGGGTGCCCGGACTGGGCCCTTTGTTGGGGCGCTGGGATCCCACCTGGGCGGACCCCGCCCGCGTCCATGGCGGCATTGTGCCCGCACCTCCGCCCGGGGCACGCTGTCCTCCGCAACTTTCTCGTGGGTTTTTGTTGTTGCTGTTTAATAAGCGTTATCCCAATTCTTATTTCCGCGCGGCTAGCCGGGGCTCTGTGCGCGTTTCCTGCTTCGGCTACAAATGTTGCGGACGGAGCGCGTCCCGGTGGGAGATGCCCCGGCAGGACCCTTTTGTGCCGCCGGGAGCGGCTCCGTGCCGGCACCGCGCCGTCACGCGGGGCTGCGGGGCAGCGGCTGCGCTCGAACGCGAATTCCTGAGATGCTCCGAAGTTCCACGGGATGCGCGAAGCCCCGAAGAGCCGAAACTCCTCGGGCGGGGCGCGGATCTCTGAAGAGGGGGAATCCCTTCCGTGGTGCTAGAGCTGGAAAAGGGAGAAGGGCTCTCAATGATGCAACTTCTAGCCGACGGGAACTCCCCTCCCCCTCCTATTGATGCAAACCCATCGCGGGGAGGCGCGGGGCTCAGAGGAACCCGAACGTGCGGTGGCCGTGGGGCCGAGGCGATGCGGGACCCCTCGGGCTCCCGGCGCACGTTTTGGGGGGTCCCACCTCCGTGCTCCCGTCGCTGAGACGCATCACGTCGTCCCGAGGAGCGCCGGGTGCTGTCTCCCTTGTATAAGCGTCACCGGGAACGTGTGCCCTAAGGGATGGGGTTGGAGACCACCGCTCCCATCAGCTTGTGTGAGTGCAGCTGTCAGGGGCTGTCTGCAACATACGGGCAGCTCCTTCCTGTTCCCCGCAGCCCTGCATGGCTGACTATCTCCGTTGTGTTCCCTCCCATCCAGCCCCATCCATGGCTCTGAGGATCTCAGGAGTGGCACGCGGAGTCTCCTTGCCGTATGAAACGAATGGCTTTCAAAGGGGCTGTTCATGCGGTTCTGTTGTGCTCTCCGCGAGCGATGCTGCACGTGGCTTTTGGGTTGCCTTCCCCTTTGGGTTCGAGCCTGCTGCACGTTCTGGTGTCTGCGATGGGCTCTGTGATTTGGAGGTGTCCCAACCAAATGGAGGTGGTATTTTTCCCAGCCATTGGGCAGTGTTGGGAAGATGTGGAGCGATGTTGTGCACCAGCAGTGCACTCTCTGTTCAGTTTGGTGTGCCTGTGGATACACAAGCGTGGTTTGTGGTGTCCCTTCCCCAAAAGCTACCGTCCCTTGGCGGGGGGAGGGGGACTTGAGCTGCAGGGTGGCAGTGCCCGAACTGAGAGATACACAGTGAGGCTTGTGCGGCCGTGTTCCTGCATCCCTCAGATGCCAGTTCCCCGTGGTGGGATCTCCTTGTCCCAGAAGAGCAGAGCTCTCCTGCTCTCACACCTGGCTCTGATGGCTCTACCTTGTCTAAGACCTCAGGTGGCATTTGGTGCTGAACTCTTACAGCATGATTGCAGAGGCAATAGTTTTGGCACTCCCCAGTGTTCTTACATCAAGTACCCCCCTCCCCCCACTCCCTCCAATTGCTCTGGTTTTACCTTAAGATTCTGTTGCATCAATCACTGCAGAGCCTCATTTTCCAATATGCTTCACTAAGTAAGAAGGTGTCGTTATCTTTTCTTTTGTGCTGATGGCTCTGCTGGTCGGCCTGCCTAGGTTGCACTGCGAGACAGAGGCCATCTGGGGCATCTTCCAGCACCTAGCAGGTTCTTTAGTAAGAAGTTTGGGGGCTTGGTTAAAGCGAGACAGCACGGAGCTCTTTCATACTCTTATCTCTCTAAACACAACCCTTTTGCCCAGCGCTTGCTGCCCCAAAGAAAGTGAAGTCTCCAAATGCGGGCTGCCCTTTGCAGTCGTAGACTTGGCTGGCAGATGTTTTTCCTTTTTCCTTGGACCAGGGCAGCCCAATCTCCCTTGAAGACGCATCCATCAGGCCGGGCGCCGGGCATTGTTCGGGGCAGGGGCAGCCCCCATGCTGGCTCACTTCGGCAGATGCAGGCGCCTGGCGAGCCCGAGGCCCCGGCGCTTTTCAAACCGGGCTGGGGAGGGGGCAGCCGGCACCGGGTCAAAAGTTCAGTGGGGCAACCTCGGTGTGCCGGGACGCAGCCGGGTCCACCCGTGGGCCTGCCCGCATGGCCGGGAGCGCGGCTGTCACCGCGTTGTGTTAGTAAATTCCTTCCCCCCCTCCTTTACATGGCTGCCTTGTCAGCCATCTGCCGTGCCGAACTTCCACGCCGCTTCCAAAGTGGGCTCTTGGCTACGCTGCAGTGGTCACGGCTGCTTTCTGAGTGGCTTTAGAAACCAGCGTGTGCTGGGTTTGTCCTTGCTTACTGTAGCAACACTCTGGGGGGAGGAGGCCTGTCCAAATAAGCCACTTATAAGATATTATTTTTTGTATTTTTGATGGTATATCTTGACCTGGTGGGCGGAAGGGATGCATTCTGCAGTCGGATCGGTGCATGTGATGATAGGAAGCGATTTGTTTTCCTCTTCAGGACCGTGGGACACCTCCCGTGACAAAGTGTCTCCTGGCCACATGCCCTTCCCATTGCGACAGAAATGTCCTCCTGGCAGCTGCAGGGATGTTGGGGTAGAAAAATAAGGGGAGAATATTTAACAGCATTTCAGCACAACTTACAGAAGAGCTGGAGGGGCGCCAGCATGGCATGGCCACCCAGCTCCTTGGCATACACTCCTGGGAGCTTCAGCCTGGGTAGGTCAAGGGGAGGTGACTTCTGAGAGTGTGCTTGGAAATAGTCAAAACACTGTTGTTAACTGCATTTATTTGGAAAGGGGGAAAAGCCACATTACATAGGGAAAACATAAATCTTTTCCTGTGGTTTTTAAAAGCGCCTTTGGGCAAATTGCCTCTGCTGCTGTCTTTGGTATGGCTCTGAGACGTTTTTCCTCTTCCTTTCTCGGTGCTTTGGGCTCCAGGTCTTTCTGTCAGGAATATGATGTGGCTGCCACACATCAGTGGCTGCTGCTCCCATGGGTCCCAGGGGGAGTAGGAAGAGTGTGGAGAAAGGGGATTTGTGCGGTGGCTGTGGAGGAAAGACTGCAGAATGAAGATCTGTTCTGCCTCCACAAACCAAGTAGAGCTTGAAAAGCCAACGTTGTTTAACCTGTTAAACTGTAGGCGTGTTGGAGTTTTAGCACTTTAGTAAATGTGCCCTTCTTTTCTAGAATGGCCAAATAAACCTTAACTTCCGCTGTCCCATCGTGTTGGGTGGGACTCAAAACTTCTCAGTGGAGCCCCATTCTCTCTGATCTCTGTGAACATCCCTTGTGATTCATGGCACCAAACTTCATGGCCTTATGGGGGATCAACCCTTGTGCACAGCTACCAAAACTCTGTGCTAAGTCCTCACCCCTCCACCGCAGTCCTGGTCCAGCACTGCATTGTTCTTGGTAGTACAGCAGCAGCCACAGCACCTGTGGGTTGTGTCCTATGGTAGCCAGATAGCTTTGGATAGGAGAACTTCGGATTGAGATAAATGCAACAAGTAGGTGTAACAAGCTGACTGAAATGTAAGTGAAATCATCTAGATCAGCTCTACTCATGCAAGGTAAGTTGGAGCTGGTTTAATGGCCTTATCAGTAGAGTACTTCAGGCATGGGGATGTGCCTTTTGCCATCTGCCCAAAAGTGGTACACATCTTGGAAATTTGAATGTCAAGTGAAAAAAATGAATGAAATGCTGGGTGAGCTCTGTTGTTCTTCCTACCTGTCCCATCTGTGTGTGTTGGGTTTTATTGATTCTGCAAGCATCTCACTGCTCTCCCCTCATCCCTTCCAGCAGCAGCCCTTACTTTGCCGGTCTTGGCTTTTGCTGCCTTCCTTATTCTGTTAATAATAGAATCATTAGCACTCTGAATGTCAGTATTGGGCTCTAGAGTTCATTGAGATTAATGGACAGGGAGGCAGAGAGATACTTCTCAGAGCCGTTGTTTCAAGTGGTCTGTAAATTGGAAGGCATTATATCGGTTTAGGTTTCAGATGCAAGGCACATTTTTCACAACCGCAGATCTTAAACTCTTTAACAAGTGTTTACGTTTTGTCTGATGAAACTGTACTATAATTGGATAAAAAATAAAATCAGCGGAATAGGTAGTTCACGGGGCTGGTACATGCATTACAACGTTATCTTAAGCCCCTGAAAAGAAACAAGAAGTGACTGAGCGCAGAAAAAAAGGCTGGCTGAACAATGGGCAAGGAAGGTTATTTTGACAGCAACATTTTGAATGGCTCTGACTTAGGTGACAGGGAAGTCGGCGAACGACTGCAGCAGTCGAAGGCTGAAGAGAAAGAGGAAGCAAATAAAAACTTCAGAGATTTGGATACCATACACGGGGCTTGGTATTTTCTGCGGTAGTTGGAGACAACTGCCTCTCCCAGCAGCACAGCTGAGTGGAAATCCTATCTGTTAGCTGCAGTGTTTGTGAGCTCGCAAGTTAAACGCTTTAAGCTGAATTTGTTTAAAAACCAATTTAAGATAATCTGGTGTAAATCTTTCCCCACTAGGAAAAAAAATATGTTCTGTATAGCAGCTTAAATATGACTTAGCGGTTTGCTTTGTTTACAGAGCCTTGACTGCTGCAAACCTGTACCAGTTTAATGAAGCTGGTGCAAACTCCTGTACGGTGCATCTAAATTAGTCATTGAGTTTGTTCTGCTTGGAATCTGCTACAGCTAAGCCAGCTAAAAGTAACACCTTAAAAGTGTCGCAGCTTTCTGTGCAGACCTTAACTGTGGTCTTTCTCTCC